TGAATCACAATACTGATAAGTGATTAATAAAAGTCAAAAGACCAAAGAGGTCACCTTAAAAAAAAAAAAAAAAAAAATTTTGATATGTTTAATTCTAAACTAAGAATTAATTTTAAATTATTATTCAAACAAATTGATCTAAATTAATTTAAATTAAACAATCTTAGTTATTAAAAAAATAATTAATGTCTTATCTTTAATATTAAAAAAAAAACAATTTATTATAAAGTACAAAATAAGTATTGCTAATCATATTCTTTATTTTTGTTACTTGTATTCTTTTTGTAAAAATATTATATGATTTTATACTATTATGCATTATATTTTTAGTTATAATATCAGTAAAATTTTTAAACAAATATATATTAATATATAACATTAATTAATATATATCAATTGAAAATAATTAATATGTATTAATTAATTGTTATATATCAATATATATCACTAGTGATATATAATGATTATTAATATATAATGATTATAAATAATTATAATCACTATTGATAAATAATAATTTGTATAAATTTCATTAAATTTTTTTAAACTTTAAATTTAGTTTTCTTGATAACTAGTAATTTAAATTAGTTAAAATTTTTAATATAAATAATATATATATTCAACTATATTATATTAAAGTTTTAATCAATTTAAATTAATAATTCTTAAGAAATAGTTTGTAAACAATAATTAATTTTTTTAAAAAATTAACTATTGTTTATAAGTAATTTTTCAAGAACTATTAATCTAAATTAGTTAAAACTTTAGTATAATATAATTGAATATATTGTTATAAAGTAGATTTTAGCATTATATATTATAAAAAAGTATTAGTAATTATATATATATAATTATTATTATATTTTATATATTATATTATATTTTTAGAGGTGTGGTAACCTAGTAAAGTGAATAGGTTGTCAACTTTTATATAGCAGATCTAGAGTTTAAATCTTAGTGATAGCAAAAATTTGCAATTCTTTTTATATTATGATTAATTGTTTTCTGTAATTAGTTGAAATAAGACACCTGTAATCTATATCATACCAGCATAACTAGAAGGTCTGGGCATTTGTACAATATTATACAAAGGAACACAAACTGGTACTAGGCAATATAAACTCAAGATAAGTTCTTAGATCATATAAATCACAGAACCAGATAAGAAGACAAAAGTTCACTTGGAAGACCTGAATAAAGAGATAACCTAAACCTTTGATGATATTACTGTAAAGACTAAACCTATGAAACAAAACTAGAATTTATGAAATTAGGCAAAGAGCCAGCCTTTGAGAAGAGGTTAAATAAAACCAACCAGTTTACTGAAATCCATTCTAGAAGAAAAAATTATATGTCAACAAATATGCAAACTAGAGATATATAGTTATAACCTGCCTTTTTAGACTATCTAGTTTAGGAGTTTGTAGAACTTGAAAGTAATAGGGATATGTTGTAAAGTCAATATCAGGATTGGGATGAACTCTACAAAAACATAGCAGTTTAATAGTATGTTCTAACTGCCAATATTAGTTTTGGCTATAACAATACTAGGTTAGCTATAAAAATAGAATACAGAAGAAGGTTTAGTACAAGGTCAAAGATTTCTTTTATAAGTAAACTGCTTTAAAGACTTAATAGCTATGGCATATTTTCATTAGCATCAACTAGGATTATTGGTAGACAGAAGTAAGTAATTGAATACAAAAACTAGAATGATTAAATAGAAAACCTACAGGTAGGTTTTAGATATAACAACTAAATAGAACTTTCGAATAGACTACTTAAATTAGATAATAACTAAAGTTGTATAAATAATTAAATATAAACTCTTTTCATAATTGCCCTCTGTGGTTGTAATGCAACCATTAACCAAATATATTATTAATAAAATTCTAAGTTGCAAGTATTTACCTTAATATTTAAAAAATATATATATATATTATATTTATTATTAGTTATTAGTTAGTCAATAGTTATATTATATAGCAGATAGATAAAATAATTTTAATTAGTTATTAGAAATGTAATACAATTACATAATACTAAGTAACATCTATAATATTACTATCATCTTACAAACCCCAAGTACTCTTGTACAAGTTTCATGTATTTTAACATTAAATTACTATGTCAAGTGCTATAATAAGAATTTCAAGTATCTTTAATATGAACCTCAAGTGTTTCTATACAAACCTCAAATATCCTTGTACAAATTCCAAGTACTTTTATACAAATCCAAAAACTTAAACACAAGTCTTAAGTATTTCAAACACAAATAACAAATGATATAAATAATATCACCAGTTGCCTCTGTACAGTTCTCACTATTCCAAGCATAATATCATTTAATGTTATTCAAATCTCTATTATTCTAAATACAATGATATCTAATATTGTTCAAATCTCTATTACTCTAAATATAGTATCAAATAATATTGCTTGAATCCCCACTATTCTCATTAGATAAAAAGATATATAAAAGGTATTTTTTACTTTTTCTTGCCAATTTTAAGTTTCTATACTTTAACCTAAATCTTTCTATTTTTATCTCTAACTTGTAAAAATAATATTCTTCTTCTAAGATAATTTCTATAAGTAAAATTGTTATAATGTGTTTATTTTAATAAAATTAATTTATATATTGTTACTAACTTGAATTATTTATCTGCTACTCTGTAATAAAATGAATTATTATATCATTCCAAATATATTTGTAATAATCAATCACTGTACCAGGTGATTTTGTTACTTAACTGTATTGTACCAAAAAAAACAACAACTTTATAACAATATATACTATTTACAATAAAAATTTCAATTTAAATTACTAATTATTAAAAAAACTGAATTCAAAATTTAAGAAAATTTAATGAAATTTTGTTATATATCATTATTAATCACTAATAATGATACTTGACAGAAGTGCTATATATTATTAGTAATCTAAGGATTACTAATAATATATATCATTTTTAAAATTTTCCTAATAAATACCACACAATAAATCATCTAATGTTTGGTTAAAAATTTTTTTTCACATGAATAATAGATATGAATAGCAATATTAAGAACACAAATAGTATAAATATTTTAAGTTTATAAAAGTCATGCTATCTGAACACGTATTTGAAATTTTATATGCATGATTTTTGATTGGTTAAATTATTATTTTTCAAAATCCGAAATATTTCGCGCCACTAAAAAATGCAAACCCACCTTTTTTGTCATAAAAAAAGACCACATATTTGATACAGTCTACCCTCGTTTATATTAGCCCATTTGGATTGGTTTAAATTATGTTGATAGTGTATTAACGAGAGATTATAATAAAGTTGATATATATGAGGGAATTTTGATATATAAAAATTTAATTTGTGGCTTAGGCTGATGTTAACGAGGGTCGACTGTACTACCTTCATATAACCTTTCTAACCCTAATAAAAATGAGCCTTTTTTTTTATGAATAAAAAAATTGGATCGTAAATCAAAAAGAATAAATTGCTTAAGAAATAATTTGAAAATTACTTCGTCCACACGAAAAATTATAATAATGACACTCAACCGAAAGAAATAATAATTGAAGAGCTTCAAATTCGTTTTTACAGCTCAAATCTAAAATGCAGAATATTTGCCATATCTGCCTCTTTATTATCTAGCTTACTATATCTCATTACAAAATTTAGACGCTTGTTAATTTTTTAATATTATGCATGGCTTGAACACTCACTAGAGTGTAGCCAATGGCAATCGACAGAATTAACATTATCTTGATCATTTTCAATCAACAAATCTGTTTCTATATGATTATGTGTATAGATTCCATTTCCTTCATTTTGCTCCTCTTCCGTATCTGCCTTGTGAACATCCTGATAAAATTCTTTGTTTTTAGGTATAAATTCAGCCTTCATCTTTTCCTTCTTCCTTACACGACCTTTGTTGTCTCTTTCTAAAGTTAAACTTTCGACAAAATCTATTACTGGCAATCTTGCTACCTGACTACTGATACTAGCTATACTTGGAAATCGTTCGATGTCGATTCTTGAACCAATATTAAGTATTGGAACTGTTATTCCATGTACGATCACCGAGCTGAGGACAATGAATGCGACGATTGGAAATGTTATTTCTTTAATATGCAACATGGATCCTTTGTCAATATCTTTTAATTCATCATTTAGTCTTCTACCAATTTCCTTTTCAACAGTCATAGCTAAAAATATAGCGCCAATTCCTATCGGTCCAAAATAACCTGCAAATGCAGCTTCTTTGAAAGTATGAAAAGCTGGAATGAATCCTTTAAACAAAATTACGATCGGTAAACGCCTAAAAATCAGAACCAGAACGCTTATGATAATAAGACTTTTGAGCGACATATTATCCGAATTAAAAGACGACCATGGAAGTATCGTTCCGATATATATAAATATGGTTAAATTAAGTAGTAGATCAATGACATCTTGCAAATGAGCATCCTGTGTTTCCTCACGAAACCAATCGCTGTGGATGGTTCAAATATTATCGCTTGTAAGTTCAGATTTTATAAAAAGACAATAAATTAGGTAATTAAACCAGACTACGTACTCCCAAGAGAACGATGTCCCCGCCATAAAGCATGCTAACAATGCGTCTGATCCGATGATGCTTACACCACCAACGACAAAAATCTAAATATTAAAATCTGAAAGTTATTATTAAGAACAAAGAAAAAAAAAAAAGAATCAAAATAATGAAATTACCGCTAGAGCAAATGCGAATACTAAAAAAGACTCCTTATCAATCCAATCTCTTAATAAAAAATAATTAATATCTATATACAAATGCTCTAAGTGATAAAATTTATTAATAGTAGAATGAATATAGTTACCGACTCTCAGCTAGTCCCAATAACTTCCTTGCTGCCCATCCTATCACGATACCGATAGCAATCGAAAGCAAGATGTGGTAACCCCAGACGAAAGAGAACCATTGACAAATAGTAGTAACTGTAATTCTCGGTGATTCAAGTAAAAAAAGAGCAAAAAAGAGAAAAGGAAAACCCATCCCTATATAGAAAATCAAGTTACAATAAGCAGAAAAATCACAGTAATATTCGTCAATTCTTACCATCATTTACTCCACTTTCAGCAGATAAAAGGTGTCTTACATTGGATGGAATATATTTTTCGGCAAAAGAGCCTTGAACAACAGAGTTTGCAAGGATCTGTACTAGTTGTAAGTTAGTATATTTCGTTGAATTTCCTTGATGAAAATCTTTTTCTTACGGAGATCCTTACCGGATCAGTTGGGGTAATGCATGAGGCAATTAACAAAGTTTCAACCTATAAAAATGAGATCAAGTTATAAAATATTATCTACAAAAACTTCAATAAGCTTTTTCAGGAACTTACGAATGTAACATTTGGTATGAAAAAATATATTATCACTGCACTAGAAATCCACATCCAGGACATGACTGGCAGAAGCATAATGAACATAGAACGAAATTGACGTGTAATGTATGCTCTACATAGATTATGTAACTGTTAAATTCGATTAATTATAGATAAATAGAATCAACATCATACCTTGGTAAATTTATGGCAGCTGTCATGATCTACATTTAGATAAAGAAAGATTAGCATGATTAAAGTTTTAAAAATATTAAATTTGAGCTAGAATCACCTGAATTGCAAGTACGATGCGTGTTAATTCCTCCGTTGTCGCGTTTTTGTACCCCCATGCCTTTTTTTTCGTTAGTTAAAACATATAAATATTAATAAGCATTTAAAGGGATCAGACATTATCGCTGATATTTGTACCGTAGGATCAATCAAACGCAAACAAGCCGGTCCTAGTATTAAGCCCATTATTGTTGCAATCACTTCAAATCATAAACAAAGAATATATCACTCGTGTTATAAAAAAAAGAAATTTAAATAAATTTAGTTACAAATGAGCAAAAAGGAATATATTAACATGCATACAGGATTCGCTTATATATAGACGCTCTTTTATAACTAATGATACCAAGCCGTAAAAAACAATGAAACCCCCCAACAAAGTGTAAACAATTAAGGGCTCGCTAAAATCAAAGAGTTGCATCTTTAAAAACGAGTTGATTTTTCAATAAACGCGATTTTTTGCTCCTCAGAACAGGTATTAGCTATAGACGAGCTCACGTCGCAACAGAATATTTTTTTTTAAAGAACAGTATATAAATGTAAGAAAAGAAATAACTTCGATTTATCCGCAGCAGTTGCTTAGAGCGTTTATGGTCTAAAAGAGTAAGTAGCAAGTACATACATAGTCAAATATAAATACTGTTACGTACCGCTTAGACAATTTAACCCCGACTCCAGAATATCATTTTTCGTTAACGTATACATACGTAACGATGAGTGATTTAGTGATTTATAATGATAAGTTATATACCATATATCAGATATCTCTGAATCTTTTATATTATTTTACACAATAGAATATTTTTAATCTAAAATAGCAATATCGAAATTTTTATAATCAATGCCCCCTTAAATGGTTTTTTGGACGCTTTAGCGTTAGTTTTTTATTTAAAAAGTTCGAGATCAAGTGTTCCTACCATGTAGTACAATAACAATATTATGTATTTTTGAGAGACGTTAAAAGTCCGGTCCGTTCGGTCCCGGTCCAGTTCTTAAAAAAGTCTGGTCCTGAACTAGTTCATACCTCAGTACGAAATAAGCATAAAACCAAGTAGTTTTTATTTTATTATTATTATTATTTTAAGTTGAAGTTCTGCCTTTGGAGAGTGGAGGTTACAACTGGTTACATGTGCATTTTTGGTGCCTAATATAAGTAGTCTGCTTATACATTATTATACATGTTTTATACTAGATGTCGATTATAGATCTTGCTTATTTTTTTTTTTTTTTTTTTTTTTTTTTTAAATATTAATGGTGAGGTAGATCTTGCTTATTTAAACCTTATAATTCATATATAGTAATATCTTTAAGATTATACTTATTCAAAGTACTTGATATATATTATTATTCTTAAGATTATTTTATTTTTAACAAAAAACTTATTAGAACTTTTTATGTTTTATATACATATACTGTATATAATTAATTTAGTTTTCTATATTATATTATTGTTAAATTTTTTTTTTTTAAAAAAAAATAAACAATTAATTATTTAGTCAAACTGATAATTTTTATTAATTAGTAATATCTTAAGTACATATATAGTTTATGAAAGTACAGTTAATCACATGTATAACTTTAATAATTGTCTATTTAAGGGTTCTATCTTAAAGTTACTTATTATCTGTTATACCTGATCTCTCTTGTAAATGTTTTATTTAAATTCTTTGATATATCTATATAACTCTAATGTTATAGTCAGATTAATACTTGTAATTATAAGTATATATTATTAAATTGTTATATTATATTATTTTTTATTCTTATAAAGTTTACTAGAATTTTAATATCCATTTTTGTGATATATTATTTTATTTAATCTTTTTTTATTTAAAACTAATAAAATATTTAAAATTATCAATTTAGAGATATAATAAAGTAAATAATTTGTCAATCTTTCAAATAATAAGTTATAAGTTTAAAACCTATTGATAATAAAAATTTAAATAATTATTTATATAATATATAAATAGTATTATAATAATAGTATTTTGTCAATCAATTAGAATAAAATATTTTTAACTATGATCACATTAGCATAATTAACAAATTATGAAGCATCTATGTAACTGATTATACAAAAGAATGTAAACTGATAATAGATAATGCAAACCTAAGATAAGTTATTATAATTATGTAAATTTGTAGAACTAAAAAGCTAAAGCTCACTTAAGAAGATCTAAGTAAAGAGATAATACAGATCTTAACAGTATTATTGTAAAGACTAGATTTAGAAAACAATACTAATATAAAAGAATTAAGTAGACAAGAATCTTAAATAAGAGATAATATTAATTAAGTTATTATAAGTCTTAAATTAGAGCAAATGAATATCAAATATCATAATTTTAATATATTAAAAACAGGTTATAATCTTTCTATACTATCTAAATTAAGAGTCTAATGATATAAGTAGAAATATACTATAAGTATTAGTAATATGCTATGAAATATGTATTATAATCTGAGTAAATTTTGCAAAATTAAGTTCTGTTAACAAAGACTAAATATGAATAGTTAGTTAGCAAAAAAACTCTTTACAATCAGATAAAATACTCTAAAATATATGTCTTAATAAATATATAGACAGGAAGACTAAAGTTAGGTTAAATAGCACTTAGATATACAGGAACTTGTATGTTATTTGCTAGATATAGTATAAAAATCAGAGTATTTAATTAGATAATCTTATAGCAGATTACAGATATAATAACTAGTATAAAATCTGCAAACAGACTACTTAAATAGATAGTCAAAAACTGTATATATAATTAGTTGTATATTTAAATTATACAAGTTATATAACTATAATTAAATTACAATAAAGACAGTAATTGCTAATAACTAACAGTTAAAAAACTCTTCTTGCTGATTATTCAAACACAAAAACAGCTAAAGAAAAAAAGAAGATTTTAGCAAAATTATCAATAGAAAACATTCCAAATAGCTTTAAACAAAAAGAAGCAGCAACAAGAAAAGCATTAGACTAGCAGAAAAAAAGTTTATCTGCAAAATAATAGCAGAGTTACTAAAGAAATAGCAGAAAACTTATTGAAAAATAACAGTAGTGGGGATTGCCATTAGACCTTGTAATGTAGATCTGTTTACATTATACAAAAGATGCATAATAGCAAAACAACAACAGACACATGCAGGTTATTAAATTAGAATAGACATTACAAATTATATATTAATACACATAAAATTTGATATATAGATAAGCAAACTAACAAAGAAAACTTAACAACCAATCGAAGGCTATAGATATAAATAGAACATAGAATTAATGAAGCATAAAGAAAGTCTCTCAACAATATTTATGAAAAGAGTGTACTGGGTAATGAATAAAATACATAATAAAATATTCTTCAACCAGTCAAGTAACACATATATAACATCAGACAGAGAAGATAAAATTGTAGCCATGCTTATAGAGCAAAGTCTAGCAGAAGTTGCATTACTAAGAAAAACTAGAAAATTGATTGAAAGAGCAAAAAAAGAACAACCAGAAAAGAAGCTTAACTTTACAAAAGCAGACAAGAATATAATGCTAATTGAATGTGAAAGAATTCAAGAACAAGAAAATAAAGAAATAGTGTAACAAGAAATAGTTATGAAAGAAGTAAAACAAAAAGACAAATGAGAAACAGAAAGAAAAATTGAAAGAATAATAGAAGAAGATAATACAAGCAAAAGAAAATCACAGGAAGAAGACTCTATCACAAAGGAAAAAGAAAAAATAAAGATAAGTAATAAAAATACAAACTGATCAAAAGAAGAACTACTAATGCAAGGAAAAGAATTAAGGGAAAAGCAAACAAAAGAAGTAGAACAAAAGGATATAGAAATAAATAGTAAAGAATCAAAACAAGGTTCAACATCAGAAAAGAAAAAAAGATAAAAAAAAAGAAAGCAGACAGTAGAAAGAGAAATAGATATAGCAGAAATTTCATTAGAAGAAAGCATATAAGCACCAAGTAAAAGAAGTTGTAACAAAGACAGCAGTCTACTCACTAATATATCAGTACACAATGTGCCTAAAGAAACAGAAGAAGAACATGTAAAGTTCATCAAATGCTTACTAAAAGACAATGAACATATTAAAAACATTAAAAAAATCTTTAAACAAGGAAATCTGTGAATTGAGGTAAACTTTGATTGCAAGTATGATAAAAATAAGGCAATATAAAGAATAAGCAAAAAAGAAAGCAATTGGTACAGAATAATATTAGAAGAGAACAAAGAAAGAAGAAGAACAGAACAAAAGAAATATAACAATGAATATCAAAATAGAAAATGTAGCATACTAGAATATAAAAAAAAAAGCCACAAAGAAGAAGAAATTTGAGAAAAAGAAGAACATACAAGTACTGAAAAAAAAGAAGTAAAAGATACAAAACATATAACAATCTGGGACCTGTTAGCAGATATAAATAAGAAGGAGCTCAAATACATATGTAGAAGATTTAAAAGTATGCAAATAATAGAAATTAAAAAGTCCAAATATAAGGCTCTTGCAATAATACAAATAGAAAAATCAGAAGAAAGAAGTACCTCTTGGTCTATATCAGTTGATAACCATAAACTGATAAGAGTAACAGAAGGGAAAGAAGATCATGAAGCAAGACAAAAGCAAAGACAATATATAGTAAAATTGACAGAGCTGCCAAGTAGTGCTCCAAAAGTTTTACTATTATAGTGTTTAAAGAATAAAAGTGCAAAATTAGTATACATTCTACCAAATAGAAATGGAAACCAAAGAAGAACTGCAATAATTTTATTTGCAAAAGAGAAAGAAAAAGAAACAGTACAATCAAGACTAATTATGTATAATAACTTTCATATATTCTAGTAAAATGAAAGAAAAAAAGAAGTTAAAAGAAAAGAAGTTTCTCAGAAAAGAAGAGGAAGAAACTGGAACAGAATGATCCAAAATCCAAGCAGAAGGTTTACAGAAATAAGAAGAGAAGATCTAGAGAATAGAAATACAGATAAAAGAAAAAGAAAAAGTGAAAATAAAAACAGTCAAAACTCAAACAAGAGATGCATATAAATAGGAAATGATTCTCAAATACAAGACATAGTAGAATGGTTGGATGATAGAAATAGTAATATAGAGAAAGAAAATCTACAAGCACAGAACCAAAACCTTCTAGAAAAAATTCTTGAGAGACTAGAGAGAATTG